ATAATTGTAAAATGTACGATTATTTGGTAAAACAGATGCATGATGGTAAATTTAGTGTATCCACCTGTTCATTGGGCGATGCTTGTTGTCATCATACTTCATGACACTGAAAGTGAAGAACATACAAAAAAATAAAACAAAAATAAAATAAATTGTTATTATTTATAAACTATATGACAACAACCTTTCTGTTGGAGGCTGGAACATTTGTCTAGTTTTATTGATATATTAAATTCTACACTATAATGTATATAAACATTTACCACGTGCACTTTCGAATTCCTTCATAGACGCATTTTAAGTCTTTTGGGTTTCCATTTTATAATCCAAGATGGCCGCCACGATGGCGTCAAAAAGGTTTGGGTTCAATGGAATTCTAATTCTTCAGTAATGGATGAACAAAAAAAAAGATTTTAAAAAAAATGACTTGAGCAAAAATGCCTGCAAATCTATTTTAGTGACACATACTTAATATTCCATATGTCGGCAGTCTATATATAACCGAGTCTGGACCAGGCAATCAAGTGATTAACATTCTGCGCATCAATCCACGCATTCGGGATACGATGACATGCTTCAACCAAGTCAGCGATCCTCACAACCCAATCCCATTAATCGCCTCTTTCGACAAGCATAGTCGCCTTTTAAGGCAAGCATGGATTACTGTAGACCTAATCTAACCCGAATCTTCGCGGGCTATACCCATTTTGAATCGAACCTGGGCCTTCTGCTTGACGACCAACCACGTTAACGCGACCGCCCCAACAGTAAAAGAGACGGAGCGGGTTCTAATTAATTCAACGTGGTTAACCCAGCTACTCCGGGTTAATCTGCAAAATTAATTTATTTTTGAAGTTGAGCAGTTCTAAATTCATGATCATGTTTGCATTTATACCAATCAAAGTGTGAAGGATAGATATAATGTCATTTTAGATAAAGTATATTTTTAATACTTTATTGAAATTGATTTTGGTGTTGCGGGATTTCCTGAATATTTGATGCCCGGAAATGTCATTGGAAATCGACAACGATAATACGTGGAGGACGTTTCAATAATGAGAATAAAGGCGACTAACGGGATCGGGTGGTCAGTCTCGCTGACTTGGTTGATGCACGGTCATCGATCCCGATTGCGTGGATCAATCACTGGATTGTCTGGTCCAGACTCGATTATTTACAGACCGCCGTCATATAGCTGGAATACTGCTGAGTGCGTCATATAGCTGGAATACTGCTGAGTGCGGCGTTAAACAACAAAACATCCAACCAACTTAAGCTTCATCCAGAAGGTACTGGTTCCCTGACATGAGTTCATGTAATGCTGACATGTTGCTAGAAGCGGCGTAAAACAATACTAAGCCTAGGAATGTATAGCGATCAACTACTTGCCGGCCTTTTTCTAGGTAAACAACAAATAAGTTAACAATTTTTCATATATTAACCAAATTATCCCGTGGGATTCCGGGTTAGAATAGGTCCCTGTAACCTATTGCGGTCGTAAAAGGCGACGAAATGGATCGGGTGGTCAGGCTCAGAGACTTGGTTGATGGCATGTGATCGTACCCCTCACAGTATCAATCACTGGATTGTCTTGTCCGGACTCGATTATTTACACACTGGCGATTTGTAGCTGGAATATTGCTGAGTGCGGCGTAAAACAACCAACAAAGTCACAAACCTTGTGAAAATACAAGAGGAACATTGTCAAATGTGGCTGATTACACGTAAATATAACCCTCTTAGTGAAGCATATTAAACAAACCACGTTTATGACGCATTCTTTTCAACCAATAGTCAGTAACGCGATCCTCGAGCTGCGATACAAAATTTCTCTTCAGAACGTCATTTATAAACCAAACTGACCTTCCACTCTAGCTACTTATTCGAGAGGCGACCATAACGTGATCGGGTGGTCAGGCTCGGTGACTTGATTGATCCATGTTATCATATATCGATCAAGTAGATGATGCTCACGATGCCAATCACTGGATTGCCTGGTGCAGACTCGATTATTTCAAACCGCCGTCATATAGCTGGAATAAGCTGTGTTTGTTTGTTTCTTTGTTTGTTGTTTAACGCCCAATCAACGGGACACTGTGGTCTTGTATGCAGGGACGGTGACGAAATCTTGTAATCGGGGATGGTGTGAAAGTTTTGTATTTGGGGATGGTATGGAAGTCTTGTATTGTCAGACGGTGAGGTAGTCTTGTATTATATAGGATGGTGGGGTAAAGTCTTCACATACTTCGTGCGTTTCTAAAGGGGAACAGTAACGTTAAAATTGTGAATTGTATTTGTTTTTCATAACAATCCTCCACAGTTCCGACGCAACTATAGGTTACTTAACAACGAATGATTTTCGAAAGGCTCTACGGTAAACTACTTTTATAACGAACTCAAAGGGGCCACTAATTTTAGTTTGTTATAACCGTAGTCCGTTATAAGCATATAAACAGCACACATACAACAAATGGCCGGGACTAAAAAATAAGTTCGTTATATCCGTCAGTTCGCTATAAGCGTGTTCGTTATAACCGTAGTTTACTGTATATTGTTCACGCGATCATTTTACCAACGATACTGCTTTGTCTTTTTCGGCCGTCCCATAACATAGAGTTCTTCTCAACCATTCCAGTTGACCTTGATTCACTATTCTTTAAACTGCCATCGCAAGAGCAGCAAAAGGTTAATATTGCATGATATTCACGACGCAACGGTTAATTAAGCCTGTTACTAGTCGCATCGTTCCCTAAATGTTTAAAATGTCATCTTGAAAGTACTCTGTTATGATTATTAAAGTCGTTAACATTATTACCGTGTTATTCCATTGCTGCTGTTAGTGTTGATAATTGTTGTTATAATGTCGTTCGTGTTTCTTCATTGTCAGTGGATTCATGAAGATCCGGTTTAGAATAGGTCTTCAGCAACCCATAAAAGGCGACTATGCTTGTCTTATGAGGCGACTAACGGGATCGGTTGGTCAGGCTCGCTGACTTGGTTGATACATGACATCGTATCCCAATTGCGAGGGATTGATGGTAATGATATCATTCACAGACTCGATTATTTACAGACCGCCCTCATATAGCTCTAATATTGATTCAGTGCGACGTTAAACAACCAACCAACAAACAAACATAGTGTTGTTCGTGTGTCGTCATGTTCAGTGTTATGTTGATGTTGTTAATTGTTGTCATAGTGTTGTCCTTTTTTCTTCATTGTCAGTGTAATGCTGGTGTTGTTAATTGTTGTCATAGTGTTGTTCGTGTTTTCATTGTCAGTTTAATGTTGGTGTTGTTAATTGTTGTCATAGTGTTGTCCGTTTTTCTTCATTGTCAGTGTTATGGTAGTGCTACGTCTGTTTATTGTGGTCTATATACATTCACATCCTTCATTTGGTAGTGCTACGTTTGTTTAGTGTGGTCTATACACATATACAGACCCGTGAAGGTCCGGGGTAGAATAGGTCTTCAGCAAGCCATGCTTGCCGTTAAAGGCGACTATGCTTGTCGTAAAAGTCGACTAACGGGATCGGGTGGTCAGGTTTGCTGACTTGGTTGATGCATGTCATCGATCCGAAATGCGTGGATTGATGCTCATGATATCAATCACTGGATTTTCTGGTCCAGACTCGATTATTTACAGACCGCCGTCATATAGCTGGAAGATTGCTGAGTGCAGCGTTAAACAACAAACCAACCAACCAACACATATACATCCTGCAACTGAGACCTCATCTCCGCGGCACTGACTGGATAAGTGTACGAATTCTGTCCTGCGGAATTTTGCGCCATTCTGCTTGTAACGCGTTGGTCAGTTGTGGGAGTGTCTGACGTGTTCTGACGTTGACGTACACGTCGATCGAGTTCATCGCAGAGGTGTTCGATTGGGTTGAGATCTGTAGATCTCGACGGCCAGGGCAAGACGTTGATGTTGGCATTATGAAGGTAGTCAACCGTGTCATGAGCTGTGTGCGGTGAAGCGTTGTCCCGTTGAAACAGCTCCCTCAGACGGTCAACAATTAGAAGAAGATGAGGTTGAAGAATTAGATTCATGTAGCGATTTCCCTGCATCACAACCAAGTCAGATCTTGTGGTGTAGGATAAAACACTAATAATACTACCTGTGTGTTTCTTTTTTTTGAAGAGTCTATTTAAATATCCTCAGACAATTAACCAAGGACACTTTCTACAATGCGACATTCCAACTTGCATTTTTTTTAAAACTTACCCCAAATGTTTATGTTTTTCAACTTTAGTAGGCATAATACGTTTTTTACTGAAATGCATTGTTTCTGGTATATTTCGTATTTAAATAGCAATTTCTCACATACATTACGTGTACTGCTGAACAATTTATGTTTTTGTAGTTAAAACATTCACTGACACCGAACTGTCCATACAGACATTGTTTCTGCATCACACTTTAGTTATATTCTGGTATATACACGTTACATAAACACCATATGAAACGGAAATACAATAGACAATACATAGAAATTATGCATTATTTATTACATCTACTTACATGATATTAAATCCTATATCATAAGAATATTGTTGTCTATACAATAATGCAACTGGAGCGATAAATCTAGATCCAACTACAGAATCACCTAAGTATGTCGAGAAAATGAGATAGCATCGGTACATGAGTATCAAGTTTATCTCTAAATGAGACACTTCAAGTTTTGATGATCCCTTATCTATCATACACTGAATCTACTTCTGTAGCTGAAATGTAATCGACTGTTATTTAGAAAAGTTCAAGGTACGTTAACTCCTATAACAGATAACACTCAGGTAATCGTCTTATAATATTAGCGGTTGCAAGTGACACCCAGTACACAACGTCATCCTGTAGGGGTACAGCAATAGAACATCTGAACAAGTTATGTTCATAGGGCCGTTGCGTTTCATCCAGTAGGCGTTGAATGTCAATGCTGCGTGTTTGTCTCTGTGATGATGGAATTTAGCAACATCATATGTCTGTTCTATCAGCTTCTGGTGTTCTGTGATCTCACAGTAGGCGCAGACATGTACGATGGTATTCTGGTGCATTTTGGAAGGAATGTTAGTCCAGGAAAGATTGATGACGAGGGCAGAGTTGAAATTGCCCACCCGTCCTCAAGACTTCACTGTTTCGCTATGTGCGCCCGTGACCCCAACTGTTCCAAGTGCGACAATGATGGAACGGATGAAGCAGCTTTTAAGGTGTTAAGAGGAAGGCAACATCATGCGGACGAGTATGTTCTTAAATGTGGTAAGTTGATATGTGGCTGTCTGTTCCATCCGAGGTAAATACAGTAAGTTAATCTATCATGAAAGCTCATGTGAGTGAGTGAGTGAGTATGGTTTTACGCCGCTATTAGCAATATTCCAGCAATATCACGGCGGGGGTCACCAGAAATGGGCTTCACACATTGTACCCATGTCGGGAATCGAACCCGGGTCTTCGGCGTGACGAGCGAACGCTTTAACCATTAGGCTACCCGACCGCCCCTGAAAGCTCATGACTTGACGATCGCATCAGACAGACACTGTGCCTACATGGGTCTAATTTTCATGATCTGTTCGTCAAATCTCATGGGGTCTGATGAATATCGTATCTTTTTTCTATATTTTTTTTATTAGAGGATCCAATGCCTACATATGTCTATGATTTGGATATCATGAAGTTTGTTCTTTTTTTAATGTTTTTTTTAAAATTATTTTTTATTTGTTTTTGGTGTACACAAACAACAAGTTTACAGAATATAGTTCACATACAATCGTAAGTACTTACAAGCTACAAAGTATATCTATGAATAATAACAAATAAAACTATTCCTGTGTCTGGATGGAAAGACATCTTTGTTGGAATTGTGTACGTTCTAGGATTTACTTGCATGGCTGTTGACAGAGTGGCCATAATTTTATGATCTGTGTGTAATAACATTTTGATATCCTTGACAGTCTTGATATCCTAATAAAATTGTCAATTTTGAAACATCTAGTTCTATTCCAGGTTTGTCTTTGATCCTTTTTGCAAGGTTGTTACAGACATGTTTTACAATTTCACAATTAAAGAACATGTGTATTAAGGTTGTTTTTTTTCCTTTACAAAAATAGCAAATATATATTCTGTATATCCCATTTTGTACAGCAACACGTTTGTTGGCATAATTCTATTAATAATACTGTTTTTGAACAATTTTTGTCAAGCCTATTCCGTCATGTTCAGGGCAATATCTAGGTCCCATCTATGAAGGCATTTTTGGGATATCAGATTGTTTGGTACCTTAGTTGATAAATAAAATATTATACACGTCAAGAAAGGCGGTCGCAGATCTAGGTCAGTGTATCTTGTTCAGGACAGCTTTGTCAAGAACTAATTGGCTACCGGTAAAGGACCAAGGGGTCAATCACCGTTTAGGAGGAATCAGCTAAAAAGAAGAGAATGTAAAAAAGGCGGTGCTTTTTAGTGTGCTTTATGAGTGAAAATAAAGCTTAATTGTCACATATGGACTGTAATAATTTTAAAATCTGTCCATTAAAGCCTTAAGAATTGAAATTGTTTAGAGGAATTATAAAGGTAACACAAAGTCGGACGCACTTTTATGCAGCATGAAGTGAACGCAGAGACGCTGCAGAACAAGCAGAGAAAGCGACCAACTGGTCCATTCAAATTAAAAGATGTATTTGTCTCAGGCATTCTTGTCTAAAAAAATAATTTTGTCGTATAGAAAGCTCCTCTTCAATAAATATTCAAAATAACACAATTTTTATACCAGATACATGCAGTTTCTGTCAATGATACATGTTTAAGATGCGAAAGCTGTTTTCATAATTATTTCAAAGTTACCTATGTATCTCACAAACGGCAAAGTCATGCATCATTACAAAGAAACATTAAATAAGTACATTGTATCAGCTTGTATGAGAAACGTCTAATTTTCAATACTGATACTGATGGTATTCCAGACTGACGATGGATAATTGAAGTCCAGGTTCCTGACGTCAGCTTGATAATAAAATGATAAAACGTGAATGTTTGTCCTTTTAATTGCATATTCCTATTAAATGCATCCATTTTATGGACAACTGAATTATGTAATTAACAAATTCAATTTGTACAGTCCATGGTTCAACTGCGAGTATAATGGTCTATTATTGAGAGTTGATTATGTTTAATGCAAACCTGACGGTCATAGGTATAAAAGGACCACTTCCAACATTACGCATGCGCGCGTTGTCTGAGCAATGTTATACTCTTTTCAATTTAGCAGGGTTATACCTTTGCTAATAACAAGATACATGCAGATGAGCACACGGTAACGTCCTCATAATTATTGTTTTATGATAAAAAGGCAACACACGTTACAATGTTAACACACGATTTCTTAAATTGTAATCATACCATTCTTTGACAAGACACTACACCGTCAGTTGTAAAGATATTCAGTTCATTTGTTTTATTTTGGATGGATCTAATTGTATATTAAGATTCCACTCTTAACTCAAAATCGACCACGTGGCCCCTTTACCGGTAGCCTTCCCCATATTTGTTTTTTGGCAATAGTTTATAAGGTAAAGGAGACGATTGTACTTGGCATACGACGTGTTTCGCATCTTAATGTTGCTTTTGTCTTTGCATCTTTGACAATGACCTTGAGATAGTCATACAGGTTTATTTATGGTTTGTTTGTGTAACGCCACACTCGTTAACACTCAGATCTGTGATTAATGTGAAAAACATAATATACTTTTTCGGTCACTGCTTTAAGACTTACATTTTACATAACATACAGGTTGTCCAGCGATCATCTATTTCTCACCTGAGACAAAAAAATACAGTATTTTCTGAAACAAATATTTTTAAAATACAAATCCCAACCCCTACCATCTCAAGATGATCAGTCACTACATAATGTTGTTTCTTGTATCCACAGGGTACACCGACAAATCTGCACCACCCACACAGGACATCAACAAATCTCCATCACCCACACAGAACATCAACAAATCTCCATCACCCACACAGGACATCGACAAATCTGCATCACCCACACGGGACACCGACAAATCTGCATCACCCACACAGAACATCAACAAATCTGCATCACCCACACAGGACACCGACAAATCTGCACCACCCACACAGGACACCGACAAATCTGCATCACCCACACAGGACACCGACAAATCTGCACCAACCACACAGGACACCGACAAATCTGCATCACCCACACAGAACATCAACAAATCAACATCACCCACACAGGACACCGACAAATCTGCATCACCCACACAGGACATCAACAAATCTCCACCACCCACACAGGACACCGACAAATCTGCACCACCCACACATAATGTCCAAAAATCTCCTGTGCTCCAAGACAAAGCCTCATCAACCTTGCAGAACAAGAAACCTGCGGGAAACCTAGGTCCTTCCAAACGTAAGGGACTGAGAAAAGAGGGGAAAAACAGAATGACGAAGATTTTCAGGAAGACAAAGATCGCAAAAGCAGGTAGGTTCATAAACAGAATACACTACAATGTATACACATAAAAAATAGTTAAGCACCTCCCAGACATTTTCTGTATAGTAAACAAGAATCACGAACATGACAAAATTGACAGAGTGGAGTTGGATAAAGCATTATGTTTGTAAAGAGCAACCATCTGAGAACAAACAAAACAAAATGAAATTTTAATTGAGATATGGTTGCCCAAACACCGGTGATGTTTTTACCACAGCATAACACCCACTATAAGTATAGCACTGCTAATTTGGAACAACGATAAATTATTGCACATAATGAATAAAAATGTCTATTTACGTCCATTAATGACATTCACGTGTCAAAAAGTTAAATAACGGTAGGGGCCACCGCGTGCACGGATGACAGCCTCAACCCTTCTCCTCATCCCTCCAGTCAGACGACGGATCATTTCAAAGGGAAATAGCGCCCATTTACATGGATATAGTATTAACATAACGCGGTATGCTGAGTCACCACTGCGACGGAGTGTGTGTTGACTGCACGCTGCACATGTAGGATGTTTACATCACGTGACGGTCACGTGCTAGCGAGGTCGACGGGTCAAAAGTAGTCCCGGCTTACAATGGCTACGAGTAACTTCAGAGGGCTATTTTCAGCGGAAATGGCCGATCGTGTTCGGAGTGTGAACAACAACGTATATGTAAACCGCGTTATGTTAATACTATATCCATGTAAATATACAACACCATGGCGGATGTTGTACAACAAATTGACTAGATTGTCAGATATTCGACATACACAAGTAGTGACCGTGGTTATATAGCATCTACCACAAAAGTTAATTGAATCTGCTAAACAAAGTGTTTGTGATCTATCGCCATAGGTAATCGCATACGACTACCAGATCACCTGTATTCTGCGGTATATCCGTCTGACAAGGCGTTCATAGCTGTCGAGTGTCGACGGGTCAGAAATAGTCCGGTTTACAATGGCTATGGAACAAATCACAGGTCTATTTCCAGCGGAAATGGCCGATTAATCTTACAACTTACACTGCAATGGTGAATGTGGTACAACAAATTGACGCTAAGACCATAACCGAGAGTGAGTGAGTGAGTGAGTATGGTTTTACGCCGCTTTTAGCGATATTCCAGCAATATCACGGCTGGGGACACCAGAAATGGGCTTCACACATTGTACCCATGTCGGGAATCGAACCCGTGTCTTCGGCGTGACGAGCGAACGCTTTAACCACTAGGCTAACCGACCGCCCCTCCCCATAACCGAGATGACAATGGTACGAGTCGTCATTGTGCTTGCTCCGGGACAACACGACTGGTCACGAATGACACAACCGTTTTTTGTAATATTGAAATTCTGTGTTCCAGCGGAGGTATTGGTCAGGATCATATACAAGGTTGTGACAGAGACTGGGAAATCGATTGACGGTGGCACTGACTGTTTCGTGTATCTGAGGGTGCACGGTGACAACAACGACCTTGAAGAACTGTACCTAAATAAAAAAGGACTTGAAATGCAACCAGGACAGATCGATAGCTTTAAAGTAAGTTGATGTTGATGTGTTGGTTGGCGGAGTTGTAATTCACGTTTATGTCGCCATACAGCATCCGCATCCGTATTGAAAGACGCCGTCACAGAGCTGGAATATTTTCAATTGCTCATGATGGCATTCACTGGATTGTCTGGTCCAGACTAATCTACTTCCAGACTGCTATCACATGAGTGCTGCGTTAAACAACAAACAAACAAACTGTAAATAAACTGATCGCGTGAAAAGGCTTGATGGACCAAACTTGATTATTTACAGACAGAGCTGGAATATTTTCTGAGTACGGCTTTAAACAACAATGCACACTAAAACATGTTCATATTGGAGTCTATGTGTTAGCCTTGGCACAACGACACCCCTATATTAGTCTATAATTATGCTGATATCTATTTCCAGTTCACCAGGACCAAAGACATAGGACATATTACAAAAATGGAGCTACGCTTGGTTAAGTATGGGATTTGGCCGGCCTGGTTTTGTGTTAGGGTGAGTAGAAATGATGTAAGGTGTATTCTCTTTTCATTCGTGTACGTACTCCTGTTCGAATCCCAACATCCTCAAACCGGTGGTGTTTTCCACAGTGGTATTGTTTAAATATTGCAGCGTTAAACCCCTGGTTGCCACTGTGGTATTGTTAAAATATTATAGCGTTAATCCCCTGGTTGTCACAGTGGTATTGTTGAAAAATTCTAGCATTAACCCCCTGGTTGCCACAGTGGTATTGTTGAAATATTGCAGCGTTAAATTCTGGTTGTCACAGTGGTATTGTTGAAATATTCTAGCATTAACCCCCTGGTTGCCACAGTGGTATTGTTGAAATATGGCAGCGTTAAACCCTGGTTGTCACAGTGGTATTGTGGAAATATTCTAGCAGTAACCCCCTGGTTGCCACAGTGGTATTGTTACAATATTGCAGCATTAAACCCTGGTTGTCACAGTGGTATTGTTGAAATATTCTAGCATTAACCCCTTGGTTGCCATAATGGTATTGTTGAAATAGTGTAGAGATAATGCAGTGACGTGCGTGTTTCTCCTCTTTAACCCAGACTTTGAATTCTAGATACATCATGAACACCGTTTTGAATTTGTGTTTAAATAATAAAAGTTTTAATATTGTCCGCTTTCATTTTTGAAAAAAAATAAAATACTGAAAACGATCACTGATCATTTGGTACATCGTAATCTGCAAATTTTGATGTTTCAGTGAACAATTTAAAATCTAATTATTGGATATTTACTCAGAAAATAAAAATAAAATGATCAATTGTGTTTTTCCATTAAATTATATAGAGAAATCAAGAATGTCCTAAATATTATGCACATACTTGGTATTTTCTTTGATATGTCGTTCGGGGGGAATAACAGTTCACAGTTTTACAGTTTACAGTTTTAATCATGATGTTAATCTTGCGTATTCTTCCGTATGTTTTTAGGCAATGAAGTACACGACAGATGATTATATTCAATGTTTGATATCATATCATGCGTAGATTTTGTCATAACAATTTAGGAACATGTTTACATGAATTTTTTTTCATACAGGAAAATGACAAATGCAGTGCCATGTATTGTATTTCTTACCTTTAGAGATGAAATTTTAATGTAACTGTAAAACACTTTGAAATGTCATATTCAATTATTGTAATTTCATATATACTCGTTATATCCGTTATTGCGTTATAAGCGTGTTCGTTATATCCATTAATTTTACATGATCGAATATACAGTTTGAACCCCGGACCTTCCGCCCTCCGCGCGGATGCTCCACCACTTGTGGGTGAGTTGGGTTTAACGCCTGTTTGAGGCAGTCTTGCCCTCTCCTCTTTCAGCGCCTGGCCCATTTCGGCGAACATTGTGGGTGGCCTTTGAGTGAGTGAGTGAGTATGGTCTTACGCCGCTTTAAGCAATATTCAAGCAATATCACGGCTGGGTACACCAGAAATGGGCTTGACACATTGTACCCATGTCAGGAATCGAACTCGGGTCTTAGGCGTGACGGGCCAACGATTTAACCTCTAAGCTACACGACCGCCCCGGTGTGGCCTTTCACGTCGGCGTATCTTGAACTCCTGGGGCGATTTAATTGGCTGTTTAGGCTTGTTTTCTAAAAGTCTGGTTTCTCATGAATCGATCCTGTACCCTGTGCTGGGTTGATCCTTAACTTCTGTGACTGCAGAAACACGTTCCGAAGTCTACAAATCACAGACTGGGGTACGTTGAACATATACAGAAAGAAAAAGAGTTAAGCATACCCCTATTTCTGAACCATGACAAAAACATCATGGTAACACAGGTACTGTCTTTGGCCTTAGACAATACCTAAAAATGTATGGAGTTGCAGGATAAAGTAAACGAGTTTCGTTTGACGTTTCATGTGAAACTGTTCCTTAAATTATACGGGCATAATCGGATGACGCATTCCACCCTATGTCTCGCGCCTCCAGTCAGACGTTGGATCTGTTGATGGGCCTGGATGCGACTGCATGCGAACAGTGAGGCCTGGCATTGTCACCCATGTACTGACGAGTAGCAAGAGGGTGGTGGTTAAAATGAGGAACGACGACTGGCCTCAAAACGTCCTGGATGTACTCTCAACAGGGGCTAAGTTGCCCCTTATGGTGACCAAATCCAACCTGCAATCATGAGAGATACACCCCCAAAACATTACCGTGCCCCCGCCGTATACAACAGTCTGTTTAATGTTCCTGGGTGCCGCCAAACTCTCGTTCTTCCATCAGTGACGTGGAGCAGAAAACGACTTTCGTATGGCCACTAGTGGATCCTTCTCCAAGTTCTCAGATTTCAGTTCTGTCGCGCAATATTCCATGCCAAACGAGCAGCTTTATGGTTATCTCTCATCAAGGGACGCTTTATGACTCGTCTAGCCCTCAGTCCTGCTGCTTCTTTGGCCGGTTCCTGACGGTTCTGGTGCTGAAACGGCGATTTTGGGCATCCACAGCTGTTTCAGACGAGTACTTGCTAAAAAGGGTTCTCGACGTATGAGACGTAGAAGGCCTTCGCGATGTGTCGTCACAGGAGGTGTTCCGGATCTGGAACGGTCCTGTACATCACCGGTTGGAGTATGTTTCTGGACTAAACGGCTTACGACAGTGTGATGATACTCCAAATTCCGACCAATGTCATTACAAGCCATTCCTGCGTTATGCATGCCGAATTTTTGCCATTTTGTGGCGTTTGATAAACGCCTCTGTGTCATGGTCACACAATGTCATGGAAGAACTGTTTAACACCGAGCTTAAGAAAGCAATTTTAACGTTTGGATATTCTGCTTTGGAAGATACTCGAGGGCATACCATGCATGGCTTTCGTCACGCATGACTGATAACATCATCTTGAGAAAACAGTTCTTCCCGTAATTATATCTTTCATTACTGTTACAAATATTGGGATGTGTTTAACCTTTTTCTTTGGGTATATGTGCTACCTCTCGCGGAGGTCTATCAGTTTATAGCATGTCAATAGCCCTGTCACGTTCAACACGATGTAGACGACACCTTCCAATCACAAATACTGCAATCTAAAAAAATCAGATCTAAGTTAGCTGCCGCTAAACAAAGATCTGAGGACATCCAATTACGGGTCAGAACGACCTTTTGCGAGCTTTGACCGACCACTGAAATTACAAGCGAGAAGTCAACATCAGCCAGTTAGAAAGCAGCTTTCTCGAGCTATACGGCACTCGTAACCTGGCGACTTCCATTTCAGACAACGCTTGTTAAATTTGTTGACACAGTTCTCGATAAAATTTTGGAAAACTAATCAAACGAACCTTCCGAACTGTCTAATAAACTAGTGTCCAAAAGAAAAGTTACCACCTGTTTGCAACGACATAAAGGAAAAACTAAACAATGCAGAAGTTTAGGATTGGTTTTATGCTTTTGAGAAATCCTTTCACAACATCTGTACATAAATTTCATTTCAATAAAATCTGTACAACCAATATGACAAGCCTTTAAAGATGGGTGGGGTCGAAAAATGAACATTTCGTTTGAGCACTGATCCCAGAAACAACGGGAAATGTCACACCACACGTCTCAAAGTCAAGTCAGTAGCGGGCATGTCCACCGTGAGCATCAATACATGCCAGAACACGCCTACGGACTGATGACGTCAAACGTCTGATGACGTTGGGAGTGATGCGTTGCCATTCCTCGAGGAGACATCGTTCCAAGTCCTGGACGTTGACTGTAGGCACACGGCGACGTCGGATTTGCCGATCGAGGTGGTCCCATAAGTGCTCGATGGGATTCATGTCCGGTGAACATGTGGGCCATGGCAAAACCTGTACGTTGGCGTTGGCAAGGAAGTTATGTGTCAATCTTGCTGTGTGTGGCCTTGCACTGTCATGTTGGAAAAGGAGTCCACGAGGCTGTTGCTAAATAAAGGGCACCAAAACAGGCCGTAGGATGTCATCAAGATAACGCTGTGCATTCAGGTTTCCACGAAATACGACAAGCATCGTTTTGACGTCACCACATATGCCACCCCAAACCATTAACCCTCCACCTCCAAACGGCCGGACCTGTTGGATACAGTTAGGCGCAAAACGTTCACCAAATCGTCGGTATACAAGCTGCCGTCCATCGTTTCTGAAGATGAGGAATCTGCTCTCATCAGAGAACATAACACGTGCCCAGTCCCGCCGTTGCCAACGTCGAACTCGGCCCGCCCAGATCAGTCTGTTGTTCCGGTGTCGAGGCGTCAGGAGCGGTCCGCGGTAGGGATGACGTGGCCGGATACCATACTGCCGTAGTCTCCTGTAGACGGTCTGTCGACTGATCCTGTGTCCCAGTGCTGTAGCCGCCGTGGACGTCGCTGTTACGGTGCGGTTCCTCAGGTGTAATACCCGGATGTAACGATCTTCACGGGGCGTGGTTACTCGTGGTCTTCCACTCCTGGGCCTGTCTGACGTCTGACCTGTCTGACGTAACCGCTGCATCAACCTGGTGATAGTGATGCGTGCGCAGCCCAGCCTTCTGGCGACGTCGACGTGTGACGCTCCTTGTTGGACCATTCCAACGGCTCTCTCTCTCTCGATGGCTCTCAAACGTGGTATATCTTGTGTTCTTTTTGTTGCTGTGATATCAACGTGTCTGATCAGCCGTTTTATACAGTTTTTCTGCACGTGCAGAACATGCTAGAGAGGGAAATGTCACTTTCACGAAATTTACGTTTTTTCCCGGAAGTGATCACGTGTTCCCGGTATTTTTTATCGACTGTGTTTGGGATGTGCAATACGAATTGGCATGTTTTCATACTTGACAATTCACTTAGTTAAAAACAATTTTGAAAATAAGTTGGTATCGTTTCTTTTGGACACTAGTTTATATGGTTGAGATTGTATGTCAGTGCTTCCCGCGTACTGTGCAACGGCTCCTCCGTTCAAATGTTTATCCC